GTACTTATAATATTAATACGATAGAAATAGAAACAAAAGAACCCGAGAGTATAAAAATTGGACAGATGCAATTTTATATGGAAAAAGTCGATAATAATTTTATCATTGGAATTAATTCTGAGAACAAACCAATTGTAACACAAAATTTGTTGACAAAAAATGTGTTAGTTATTTCAAATGACACGTTTATATTTGAACAGAATAATTGCAACGCTTTTTATGGTTCAATGTGTATATATAAAAAAATAACCAAATGTGAACGTGGTTATTATTCTTCACAATTGAAAAAGTGTGTTGACTGTTTAAACACCAATTGTTTGCAATGTATTTTAAGTCAAAACAATTGTTCATTGTGTTCTCCAAATTACATTTTTAAAAATGGTGAATGTATTATGATCACAAATTGCAAATTAATATTGTCTAATAGATGTATCAAATGCACAGAAGAGTACTTATTAAAAGATGGATCATGTGTTTATGATACTAAATGTTTAGTAAAAACATTTAATGAAAAATGTTTAATTTGTAACAACAATAATGGTTTCATACTTAACAAGGTTGATTGCATTGAATCGGACAAAAACGGTGAAATTGTGGACAATTTTAAAACTCTTTCTTGTTTAAAATATTATTTTTTGAACGATTCAAAGTGTTATAAGTGTTATGAGAAATATTTAAACAATGAATTGTGTGAAAATGGAAAATTGACAAAATGTGAAAATAACAGTTTTATGACCGATACCAATTTTTGTGAAATAAAAACGTGTGATAATCCGAATGACGAAAATGGTCAATGTACCACTAATGCAACATTTTGCAATATCACAACAAATAACCAATGTGTTGAATGTAATACAAATTTCGTACTTTATAACAATTTGTGCAACATTTCTTTATATCCAAATTGTGAACTACAAACAAAAAGTGGATGTTTAAGATGTGAAAATCTATATTACTTTGATAAAACAACCGAAAGTTGTGAACAATGTGATGATAATTGTTTGACTTGTATTGAAAAATCAACAAAGTGTTTAAAATGTAAAAGTAATTTTTTTATATCAAATTATCACTGTTTTACGAATCAAGATTTAGAAGAAGTGTGTGATCAATATGCAGAGTTTGGAAGTGGTTGTGTTGCGTGCAAAGAAGGGTATTATCGAGAAGGACTAAATTGTTTTTTTTGTGACATAAAATGTTCAAGTTGTAACAACAAAGATAATTGTTTAACTTGTAACTTAACCAATTACAAAACAATAAACGATAATTGTCTTCCTCAAAGCAACATTGAAGGTTGTCAAGTTAATGTAACACAACAAGGTTGTTCTTTATGCAAAGATGGTTATTTTATAATTAACTCCAATGAGTGTGAAAAATGTGACAACTCGTGCAAAACGTGTTATTACAATAAAAACTATTGTATATCTTGTTATTCAACATTAGTACTGACTTCAAATGGAAGTTGTGTTGGTTTATCTCAAATATTTAAATGTATTGAAATAACAAATTCCAAATGTATAAAATGCTCGTTTTGGTATACACCAAGTTGGGATGGCACTTTTTGCAAAACCAAAGCTGTTTGGTGGTTGATTCTTTTATGTATTATATTCGTATTAGTAATTATTAGTGCCTTACTTGTTATAATAATATTTATCACAAAATATGTCCTTAAAAAAAGACACAAAACAGAAATTCGAAAAACGACAACTCTCTTTAAAATGAAACGGTCAAATGTCAAATTTGTTTCACTCTCAAATGGAGTTTGTGTTTCATCTCAAAAAATTGATTTCAACACAGACATTGATGAAATTCCCGTCAACCAAGAGACAAAAACAATGTTTTGTGTTGGTAATTACAACAAGAAAACAGTCAAAATTCAGTTAACATATTCTACGATTAATTCAGACAAATTTTTAATAAGAAATGATCCTGAGGTTGTTATTCTTAAAACAGGTATTGCTTCCGAATTTTCTATGTATGTTCAACCTTTGTGTTCTTGTCAATTTAAAACTGAATTCCAAATAGTATCAAAAACTCTTGCATCAAATGAAGTTAATTATTATAACATCAAATTAGTTGGTGTAACATGTCAATCAACAAAAATTGACTATGAAGAACTTGTTGCAGAAAAATATCTTGGGGAAGGAGCATTTGGTATAGTGTACAAAGGAACTTATCGAAATAGTATTGTTGCAATTAAAAAATTGAAAGAAATAGACGAAAATGGCTTAGAAGAGTTTAATAAAGAAGTCTTGATGTTAGACAAATTCCGAAGTGATTATGTCGTCCATTTTTATGGTGCCGTTTTCATTCCAAATAAAATTTGTATGGTCACCGAATTTGCAGAATATGGTAGTTTAAATGATTTGATGAAACACAAAAGAAGTGAAGAAATTAAAATGAAAATTCGAAACAAATTCTTGTTAGACGCAGCAAAGGGACTCGTTTATTTACATGAAAATGGGATTATACACAGAGATATTAAACCAGATAACATTTTAATATTTTCTCTTGATTTTCAGAATGAAACTGTTAGTGCAAAACTTACTGATTTTGGAAGTTCGCGTAATATAAATAAATTAATGACTAACATGACGTTTACTAAAGGAGTTGGTACACCAGTGTTTATGGCACCCGAAGTTTTGAACAAAAAACATTACAAAAAGAGTGCTGATATTTATTCTTTTGGAATAACAATGTTCGAAACGTTTTCGTGGAGTTGTGCATACCCCGAAGATAAGTTTAAATTTCCATGGAAAATTGCAGAATTTGTCATTTCTGGCCAAAGACTTGAAAAACCCAAAGAATTAACAGAAGATTTATACAATATAATTACGAAATGTTGGGCACATAACAAAGAAGAAAGATTTGTGCAAAAGATGTTGTTATTTTACTGGATAATTGTTTGAACACGATAATAAACAACTGAAATAAAATGTTTTTTTAAGAATTTCAATTATTATAATTAAAATATAACAATTTGGTAATCACTTAAAACGATGATTCAAATAAAAAATGAAATAACATTATTTTCATTCACCTAATTTTAAATAAACCGAAAATGATTCAATTTTTTATTATAAATTAATTAAGGATAAATGTTGGAATTATTTGTTAATTATTTCAAACTTATAAGTAGGCACATTTTTTTTAAAAAAGTCAGACTAGTAAATAAATGTAATGCGTTTATTTTGATTATGCCTTGTAATTATCATACTTTCAAATTAAACAGTTTTATATTATTCTAATGGAGATATATAATTAAAATAATAACTATTTTTTTTCTTTTTTTATTTAAATATTTCAACATTTTATTATTATACTAATTTAAAATTTTAAGTATTCATGAAAATTTTAATTTTTTTGAGTATTGAAAATATTTTACACAATTTTTCTTGTAATTTATTTTCCCCCAAGATCAAAAGTGTATATTCTGAAAATGTGTGATTTTTATTTAAAACGCTATTCATGTTATATATGTAAGATGATTTTTTTGTGTTTTTTTTACAAAAAAAACAATTTAATAACTATATTTCTATTTACCACTTAAATAAAGTTGATAAAGAAAACAACCAAAAAACAAACAAGTATATTTTTGAAAAAGTGGATTTTTAATCAAAATTCCTTAAAAATAAATAAATTAATCGAACAATTTTTAATCTTTTACACACACACAAAAAAACAATTTATAATAAACCAATTAATAATCTTGATAATACATTATATTTTCGAAAAAATTTTTGATAATTTACAATTATAAAAAGTTGTTATTATAAATTATATTTTTTGTTTATTGTTTTTAAATAAAAATATACCTTTTTAGAAAATACTTAACATTGTTGTGTTTTATTTTTGTTGTGTGGCAACAATTACTGTTTATAAATAAAAAACGCGTGGGAATCTTCCCATAAACAAAAACAAAAATGTCTTTGGGTAACAACTCAAAGGTTGTTACACTGCAGGTCACACTTGCCAAGGCTTGGCAGTGTGTCCGGACGGATAAATCCCGGATACTACACATATAAATAAATAAGAAAATAAAAATAATAATCCGTATACCCCCATATATACAGATTATATAATATTAATAGATGACGAGTTTTAAATGTTCTTAAACGTCGCGACGGTTTTAGAACATCATATTATCAGCATATATAATATAAAACAAACACGATTGTCGACTTATTACCAGATATGGTCACTTTTAATTCAAGAAAAAGTACCATTACAAGACAAACAAATAGAATAAAGAAAACTGTGATTGATAGAGATTTGGACAATATATTATATCTAGAAGACAAATATTTGTATAGAAAAACCGAAGAATTTGTCATTTTTGCTAGTTGTTTAAAATTGTGTTGTTGGAAAATAGAAAAATTTACTGTTTGTACATGGACGGAACGTTTGCTTCTTGTCCAGAAGAGTTTAGTCAATTGTACACAATACACTGTTTATTCCCAAATGGTCAGTTTTTTCCTTTGTACTATTGCATAACAAAACGAAGAATAATGGAAAACTATATCAACTTGTTTGCTGTATTACAAGAAACACACCATGGTATTTTTGGCAGGTTGTAATTTACAAATGAGACATCAACAATGAGTGAATTTGAAAATGCGGTTTTAAATGTATTAGAATCGTTTAATTGTAATGTCCATTGTTGCATGTTTCACTTTTGCCAGTATGTTTGGCGCAAAATTGTAAATTTTGGGCTTGCACTGTTTTATACCGAAGAAACCAATGAGAATTTAGTAATGAAACGGTTGAATATTATACTATTTTTAAAGAAAATGAGATCAGACCATCTTTTGAAAAATTTAAAAGTATAATTAATAATAACATTATTAAATTTTAAGAAAATGTTTTCGTGTTGTTGATAAAACTCTATGAGTACTTTGAACGAGTGTGATTAATAAAAAATTTTCAATAAGTTATTGGAGCCAGTATAATAGAGATGTAAAAACAGATAATAAAAGCGAATTATTTCACTCTTTTTTAATAATTGAGTTGAACACCCCGAAACTTTCACTTGAAAAGGTGTTGTTAGTTTTTGCTAAACACGGAAATTCAGTCATTGTTCAAATTAAACAAATGATAAAAGGAAAAAACACGAAAGAAAAGCATCTTTGTACAAAAAACAAGCAAATCAGACAATTGACCGAAATTTTTTAAAATGAGAGTCTGACACTGCGTGTTTTCATTATTTCTTTGATTTGCATTGAATTGTTTTTGTTACACGAGAATAATTTCGAAAACGTAGAATTAAACAACCAATATAAAGCGAGGGTGTGGATTTCAAAGAGAAAAGAAGAATCTATTGATGTAACGAAAAGCGATTTGACTTTGGATTTAAACAAGTATGGCTTTTTATGTCAATCATAATGAAACTTATAAAGAATGGAATACAATACCTTGTTTTTG